GGCCATCACCGCAGCCCTGCACCTTCCTTCACTCATTTTTGCCTCACGTTCTGCTGAGTGCCAGGCCAGTGCTGTGCCAGAGAGGCAGAAGGTCTCCCTTCTGGAATTCTGCCTGTGGAAGGCTGTCACTGCCATAACCACACTGAGCCCTGTGCCCTCAGACCCAAAGCAGCCGCTTCTCACTCACCTGGATCTCCAGGCCCCACACCCTCCCTTGTCCTGCGCCACGCACCCCCACACCGTCGCCGCCCTTGGTTTCTCTTCACCTGCCAAGGTGGGGGGTGACTGGGTCCGTTCCCTAAATGGACGACGCGGCACAGTGGTGCCGTGGAGGCCGGATATTCTAGGCAGGTTCGGGGCAGGCTGAGCAGGTCAGCCACATGGGAGAAGCCTGAATACCCACCCTTGACCCTGGGTAGGGCCAGCCCCTGAAGGTTTCTCTCTCATTCCTAGGGTGTGAGGCCGGGAATGCCAGGGTTGTTGTCCCTCCCCCAGCTGCCTGCGCAGTGCCAGGGGCTGCTGTCCCCTCACGCCACAGCAGCAGGGCCACTCTCAACCAGGCAGCCCTGGCCGTGAGCCATCCGAAGTCCAGGGCGCTGTTGGGTCCAGTTGGGAGGGCACAGGTGGGAACCCGTCTGCCGGCTGAGCCCCTGCTCCAGCCCCGGCCCCTCAGAAGAGCTGCCCTCTTCTGGCTTACTGGGGGCAGAAGACCCCCACAAGACTTGAAAGAATCTTCCGGCACCAAAGGGAAGGTGTCCCTCAGGGCAGGGCGTTACGGCTCCAAACAGCCCCAGGGCGCTGGGCATCCCTGCGGGAAGTAGGTAGGTCCCCTGTGCAGACAGGTGGGCAGCCGGGGAGACTGGTTAGCCGGCCGGGAGAAGGAGCCCGCCTGTCCCTCATTAGAGGCGGGTTCGCGATGGCAATCCTGGCGTCCGTCCAACCTGGGTAATTACACTCTGCCGACCTAGATTCCCCCTTCAGCTTCAATTAGCGCCAGGATGCGTCCTCGCTTCCCACCCAAACTGGCCAGGAAGCGGCCACCACATCCCCCGGGTTGCTTGCTCTGCCGCACGAGGGGCGGATGCCTGTGTGGTCGTCCTGCAGACAGGGGATGACGCAAGGGGAAGCCTGGGGGCTCCCTGGTTCTTCGGGGGAGGGGGAGAGGCCCCCAAAGTCTGGGGAAGCCGACCCCCAGCGCTGCCCTCCGGCCACCATGCGGAACCGGGGACCCTTGCGTGGGTGTGAAAGGCTCCCCGGCACGCGCTGACCTCCCCCGGCCCCTCCGCAGGGAACACCATCTCCATGCCCACAGCCTCCGGGGCCAAAAAGCGCTTCTGGATCATCGAGGACATGTCGCCGTTCGGCAAGCGGCGCAAGACGGCCTCCTCGCGGAAAATGCTGGACGAGGGCATGATGCTGGAGGGCTTCCGGCGCTTCGACCTCTACGAGGACTGCAGGGACCCGACCTGCCAGTTCTCGCTCAAGGTCACGCACTACCACTGCACGCGGGAGAACTGTGGCTACAAGTTCTGCGGACGCACGCACATGTACAAGCACGCGCAGCACCATGACCGCGTGGACAACCTCGTGCTGGACGACTTCAAGCGCTTCAAGGCCTCGCTCAGCTGCCACTTCGCCGACTGCCCCTTCT